ATTTCTGTGGCGTGATTTCTTAACTTTGTGTTTCATGTCCAAATCCTTTCCCTTTGCTTCTTTTTGTGTGTCTCAGGTTCTTCCTGGGGTTGAACGACTACGGCTCAGCCATCCACTTCCTGGTTCTGTCTCAGTGCAACGACGAAGCTTTCCAATTGGCCCAGCAGCACGGGCAGATGGAGGTCTACGCCGACATCATTGGTACGTCACTGTGTGAATGTTTGTATAGAACATACAGACTATTCTATAGCTGAATGGGTCTTATGTTATTTCCTGTTGCAGTATTTGCTAATAATGTTTTACCACTAGGTCCAATAAAACTGTCTATAAGTTGAATCTTAAAGCTTGACTGCTGCGGTGTGTTCGTCAGGTCCTGAGGCCACGCAGGAGGACTACCAGAGCATCGCGCTCTACTTCGAGGGAGAGAAGAAACACCTGCAGGCCGGAAAGTTCTTCCAGAAGTGTGGCCAGTACAGCAGAGTGAGAACCCTCCTCGATTTTGATTTCGTTTTTCTGTGGTGGAGGAATTATGCAGATTCTTTACTACATACCACACTGTGACTTCAGTGAAGGTACTTTACTGTATTATCAGCAGAATGGATCAGTAAAAGAATAGAATATATATAGAATATATAAACATAGGTGTTTTCCTATTATTGAAGGTGTTTTTGAATTATTATCACTGCTGTTTTATTATGTATGTTGCATTTATGGCTGTTGATGTTGGTTATGCTGTTTTTAAGTTGGGAAGTTTAATGTAAAGCAATGCATCATATTCTAAAACACCATCATGAAAACATTATCCTTCAGTTTATCACAATCACACCATCATCACATCTGGAGATACATGGCTTTCTCCGGACAGGAAGTAGAGCTGTGGAGTAAAAAGAACAATATGAACCTCTGAGACGAGTGGAGAATAAAGTAGCATAAATGTTTTCTCTCTGCGTCCCAGGCCCTGAAGCACTTCCTGAAGTGTCCCAACACGGATGACAACCTGGCTGTGGAGATGGCCATAGAGACGGTGAGAGCAGTGTGTCTCACTGAGCATCACACTGCATGTACAGAATAATGTCAACAGTTTGTTCATTGTTTTGATGTGGGTTTCAGGTGGGTCAGGCCAGGGACAGTTCTCTGACCAATCAGCTGATAGATTACCTGATGGGAGAAAGTGACGGTATGCCCAAGGTAAAGAACACTCCATTGCCGTCTCCATTGCATGTGTGTCAACGGCTGTGACTTCCCTTTTTAAAATCATAGCCAATTCTCCCTCTCCATGTCTCTCCTACTCCTCGTCTGGTGTGTGAAGTGTCTCTTCATTTGTTTTTGGGTTCATATTTTTACACACACTGCAACAGTTAATGGAAAAACTGGATGTTTTTGTCAACAACTTTTTCCGTCACTGGAATGAACAGCGAGACAGCACCAACGTCATTTGACAACATCACACAATGCCATATTGTCGACCAAAAAAGACGAGACTAAAATAAAAGCTTTACCCAGATCCTTCTATATCTTTTTATCCCAAAATCCACATCTTCTGAATGCAGCCGTTTTGTGTCCTTTGCCACGTTGCCCCTTGTGAATACAATGTGTGTAAAACAATCCCTGAGTGACACTGTGTACTAAACTGGTGATGGTTAGATGACCTTTCTTTCCTCTTCCCAGGATGCCAAGTATCTGTTCCGCCTGTACATGGCGCTGCAGCTGTTCAGAGAGGCCGCTCGCACCGCCATCATCATCGCCAGAGAGGAGCAGTGTGCAGGCACGTCTTCACACTGTGCACCAATAACATTCTGTGAGATTTACAATCCTCATTCTTTTTTCTACATGTTATTCCTCCAGGGAACTACCGTAATGCCCATGACGTGCTGTTCAGCATGTACACGGAGCTGCAGGCCCAGAAGATTAAGATCCCTGCTGAGATGGTCACAAATCTGATGATCCTCCACTCCTACCTGCTGGTCAAGGTCAGAACGCCTGCTGTGTGTTAGCGATGTTTACTGTCGTCATGGTGTCTAGTAGTGATGTTACGTATTGCGCCGAGGCTTCGGAGCGTGTGTCGAGTAATCCCCGAAGCTTTTTGTGAAGCATGTATCGAGGCTTGTATCGTTTTGGGCCAGTGACGTCATCGAGGACAAACGAAGCCTCGCTGCCTGTCGATACCACGTGACTGCTTCAGGAAGCGATTGAACCACAACTCATATTACCCATGGATGTATAATAAGAACCATATTACCCCTCCTGTACCCGGGCCCGGTGACACGATGGAATTAAGAGAGCTCAGACCCTCTTATATAGAGGTCGGAACATGTCATAAGTATAAATAGATACAAGCATAAATAAATACAGGAATAAATAGCGTGCAGTGTTTCAGGTAGACAGTGTGTGGGCTGTGGCTCAGCTGGAAAGCAGTTGACTCACAACCGCAGGGTCCCTGGTTCCATGACTCGTCAATGTGTCTTTTGTTTTTATGAGATGAATGAGATAATGTAGTTAATAAATGTATTCTTTGATATGGTTTAGCCTTTCTCAGCCTTTTTCAATATTATTAAGGAATACAAATCCCTCTTTGCAATGTTTACCAGCCTCCTTAGGCTTTTCAATCACAATCATTGGAATAAATACAATATTGTTAACATGAAAATATGATTTTATGTTCGTTGTTTAGAGTTATTCTAAGGCTTTACTCATTGGGAACTCGGTATGAGATTGAGCACACTGTTGAGATGTCATAATGTGCCTGTTTTACACACTTTGACCAGCAGGGGGGGTTTGTGCTCAGATGAAGCCTCGTGAGATGAACCCTTTTGCGAACCAATTGGCTTCAAAGCTTCATCTTGCCATCACTAGTGTCTAGTGATTCGGAGTCCCTCACACTCTTCCAGACCCACCTCAAAACTCATATCTTCACCTCTGTCCACTCATAAGCCCCACCCCATCAATCCATTCCTGTTGACTGTCTTTGTATATTATGTTGTAAAAAAGTTAAAAAAAATAATTTGTCATAATAATTTATAATAGTGTAGTATGTGAGTATTCTAGAAGTAGTAGATTAGCTCATACAAACTATGGCAACATAATATAGTATACAGTAGGATGTCAAGAACGTCTTTTGTAAAAAATGGTACTGTTGTGTTTCTGACTTTGTACATTGTGTTATTATGCAGATCCATGTAAAGAGGGGGGACCACCTAAAAGGCGCTCGCATGCTCATCCGGGTCAGCAACAATATCAGCAAGTTCCCCGCACGTGAGTCCACACAGAGAACTCTACAAATCACATGATAACAAATCTAAAGCAAGTTGAAATGTCCCCAACATAAAGAAATCCAAACAGAGGTCTAATCAGTGTTTGTGTGTAGATGTGGTTCCCATTCTGACGTCAGCGGTCATCGAGTGTCACCGCGCCGGACTGAAGAACTCGGCCTTCAGCTTTGCCGCCATGCTGATGAGACCGGAGTACAGGAACGAGATCGACTCCAAGTACAGGAAGAAGATCGAGGCCATGGTTCGGTGAGAATGTTCACACCTCCTGTGTTCTGTCAAACTCCCCCCCCCCTGCTCTGTTCTAACCTCCCTTCCTTTCCTGCACGTGTCCTCTCTCTGCACATCCGTCCTCACCTCAGACGTCCCGACACCTCGGAGCTGGAGGAGGAGACGACCCCCTGTCCCTTCTGTGGCGCTCAGCTGCCGCAGAACGAACTGCTCTGCATCTCCTGCAAGAACAACCTGCCCTACTGCATCTCCACGGTACGACACAGAACCACTGACTCGTTCATAACACCCCAATAGTTTCCCTTGTGTTTTGTATCTTTTGATATCTTTACCCTTCTGTTTTCTCAGGGTCGTCATATGCTGAAAGAAGACTGGTCTGTGTGTCCTCACTGTGAATTCCCCTCACTCTACTCTCAGTTCACTCTGTAAGTTATGCTTTCATTTATATTCAGTTTGCTACTACCCATACAGACAGTTTAGGCACTTCTTTTTTTCCATAGACCTTTTTTAAATATAAAATCTTCCAAAGGGATCAGCTGGTTTAAACAGTGGCCTTCTGATTCTCAAATCAACTTGGACAGTAGCAGTTTGCTAGTTTAGAGCTCCACTGGCACCTTCGTTTTTCTAATTCAGAATTAGTTGGGCTTTTTAGGAAATGCGCTTATTGGCTTTCCTGCTAAGAGTGATAAGAGTGATACCAGGATGTCACTGTACCAGACACGTGTTTCCGTAGAGTTTAAACCGACAGATTATATTGTGTTTATTAGATGTGCTGGCAGGCCAGGCTCACAGTGCATTCCTTGCTGTAACTTCATATTTAACTTGTGAAATGAGGGGTATCGATCTCCCACTTTTCTCATCGTCACACTCTCACATCTATACTGAATGTATTTTTGTGTTCAGGTTGCTGGAGACGGAGACGACGTGTCCCATGTGCTCCGAGGCTCTGAGTGTCAAACAGGTGAAGAAGATAACTGACTGTTCCAAATACCTGCAGGCCGAGGACCTCGATCAGTGACAACATATCAACTCATCACATGTATATAGATGTATTGTCCTTTTGTATTTGTTTAAATATGTCAGATATATATATTTTGGATGGATTGTAAGCAGATTTTAGTATGTGAAAATCATAGGAGTAGTTACATTTTTTAAAGATGCTTAATATGCTAACAACTGAAAAATAATAAATCAAATAAAGAAAGCTGTTTATTTAAATGAAATGTTCGTATTTTTTCCTGGAGTGGCTGAAGATGATTCAAACGGGCTTTTATGTTCTGGAGGAGTTTAGAAATGATCATTAAGATGGTTTTTTATAATGATTTGTAGTTAAACCCTTCATCACGTTGCTTCGCAGAGTGAATTATCCTCTGAGCGGCTTAGTCACAGTATCTGTGAACATCTCTATATAAGTGTCATCCATCTGATTTGAAATAAAACGTAATACCAGCCTAAAACATTTTCTAAAAAGGGTCTGATAAAGAAATCAACCACAGACAAATATGACCAACATATTTCTCTATTTATCCTCATGAATAGTTTTTTTTACAAAATCGCACTTTACAGGAAGCTCAGTGCTAACCGCAGAGCTACAGCGTCTCTGTATAAAAGTCCCGTACATCCGAGTCACATTATTTACAGCCTCCACTCCTGGATCACTAACTGATGACGGTGGAAATGCTCTAACCTCCTGATGAGACGCACGTCACTACAGAGGACACATGATACAAGCTGGCATTATACATTTGTTCATTATAGAGACACTCTGAGTGAAACGACAGGAAGTACAAAAAGTGGAAAGACATTTCTGAGCCATCTAGTCAAAGAGGAGGGACGAGTGAGTTCCCAGCGGAGGTTAAGACCCGACTCACTACACACTGATGCTCAGCAGAGGGTCTCTAAGTGCAGAGAAAGAGTGTAACAGGCTGAGGGGGCTGAGGGGGGGGCAGAGCAGGACCGTGTTCATTTTTTGGCCTTTCCTTTGCCTTTCCCCTTCCCAGAAGCCTCCTTCTTCTCCTTCTTCTCCTTCGTCTCCTTCTTGATAGGTTTGCCCTTCTTCTGCTGCAGGGAGGAACACCGCACAGACGTTAGAAGATATGAACACAGCGCTTTGCACGCAGTGAATGTTAGCTTGTTGATGCTCTTACTTTGATCATGGCGTCCAACTTGACGCCCTCGTCCTCAGACTCCTGCGCTTCATTGTCCATCTCCTTCGCTCCCAGCTCCGACTCCCCCGCACCCCCACCCCCGCGGCGGCCCTTCTTCACGACCTGCAGAGAGTACGGCGTCAGGTGGACCTCCTTGTTGTAGGCCCGGGTGAACGCTGCCTTCACCTGAGAGGAGACAAAATGTTGCAATAAATCACTCTTATTTCCCCCATTCACAATATCGCTTGTGAAAAGGCAATATTCAATATAGGCTCTATATACCTACACAAATATGCTATGAGCTGTGCTCGTCTTTGACCATTTAAAATCTATTAAGGAGTAACCAGTTTATTTGAGGTTGTGAAGAACAGTTAAAATAACAAATGATAGAGAACAGTTGTTGTGCGTCAAGTGAGACCTATTTAAGATGAAAACCTGGCTCTGGAGTTTGTTGGGTGCAAATCGGCAAAGGTGAAAAAACATTTCTAATCTGTGACAATTTTAGCCTCTGTGATTTGCTGTTGAAACAAAAGTGAAAAAAGTTGTTAATAGAAGCTGCTATACTAATTATTGTTTTAAATTCATAATTGCTCCAATGACAACATGTCATGTGTTCACTCTACTTGCTCAGCACAAAACAGCATGTATGAATAAAGAAAAGCTTAGGAACATGTTCACATTTCAAACATCAACTCGCTTCGTTAATGTTATTAAAGCTAAATCTGCTGCTCCCGATTTCTCTAAAAACACTCACTTTTTTATGTTGCTCTTGATGGAACAATTAAACAGGTTAGGAAGTGTATATAGTGTTATAGGTATAGACGCAGTGCTTCTCAAAGTGTGGTCCGCGGACCACTGGTGGTCCGTGAGCGCCCCCTAGTGGTCCGTGAGTATATTGGTAAAATTTCCCATTTGAAATAAATTAATTAATTTAAGTTTTCCGCACTCTCGCGGGAATATCTCCGCAATGGAGCGAGCTTAAGTTTCACTTTCAATTGCATGATATAGCCCAGCGCAACACCTTCATCACACATGTGGCCACTTGTTTGTACCATTTTCAGGCGATTTGTAAAAAACAATGTGTTTTTGGATATTTGTGGAGTTAGGTGGTCCGCGAGTATTCTTTTATTGGTTAAGTGGTCCTTGGTATGAAAAAGTTTGAGAAACACTGGTATAGAGGGACGAAGCAGACTGACACTCCGATAGATGCTGGAATAACTGGTATAATTTGTTATGCGTTTCCAATCCAATCTCAACAATTTAGACTCCTGCTAACCTTTGACTCTAGTTTAGAGTAGGGGTCTGGCTGCCCCCCCCACACGCTGATCTCCATGATGCTGTCCACGTCCTCCCTGACCAGCTGGTAGTCGTCCAGCAGCTGCACAGCCTGGGCGGCGCCCTCCGCTCCGAGCCTCTGCAGCGGGCTGAGCAGCGCCTGGCGCAGGTAGAACAGGTAGTCCAGGTTCACCGCCTGCCGGCTGCTCATCGTCCTGCAGGGGCCACACAGAGGACAGTCAGATACTGCGACTACAACGAGTGAATACTCAGAGGACAGTGAAGAAGGCCGGCTCACTTTAATCCCATGTGTGAGGAAAGCTCCTGCACGATGCGAGAGTGCTTGCTGGTGGAGGAGTGCTTGCCGAGCCAGCTGGGGAAGGTGGGGAACTGACTCATGTAGCCCCTCATGAGCTCGCCAGGTAACACACTGGCATAGACAGCCTGCGAACACACACACACACACACACACACACACACACACACACACACACACACACACACACACACACACACACACACACACACACACACACACACACACACACACACACACACACACACACACACACACACACACACACACACACACACACACACACACACACACACACACACACACACACACACACACACACACACACACACACACACACACACACACACACACACACACACACACACACACACACACACACACACACACACACACACACACACACACACACACACACACACACACACACACACACACACACACACACACACACACACACAATGAGGAATATGTGGAGTATTTGAAGTCATGGTTTAGTTTGTCAAATAAATTGTTATATTGTGTTAACTGAAAATTGGCACAATAGTGTTTTATTGTCAGTTTATACATTTCTTATCTTCACGGTCTACTGTATATTTTCTACTTTTTAAAATGGTGTTTTATTTCTATTTTGAGATGTTTACATTTTAGAATTGTTTATTTCAACTCATTTCTATTTATGTGCAATCCCTTGTTTGTTTTTGATGCTGCTGCAACGCAAACATTTCCCAATTTAGGATCAATAAAGTACATCTTATCTTATATTAGTCAAAAAGTCAAAGATATCAGGGTAGAGCATGCCATCAAAAATGTCAAAGTGATAATAAACAAAGACCAAGAATAGTATGTCGTGAAAAAACTAAAAAGTCACAGTTTAATCATAAAAAGGTTTCCATAAATACACAACAGAGTCCCACAAAGGGCCTACACAATGATTACATGTATGCAAATGTTTGCGTTGAACCTCTTTGGACAAATATACATGTTAATGGATCAACTGTTACGACCCCACAGACAAGCTGATATATCAATTACAGTCAAACATAGCAAATGTATACATTTAAAAAGATGATTCTCCCATCACTTGTTAGTGTGTGTGTGTGTGTGTGTGTGTGTGTGTGTGTGTGTGTGTGTGTGTGTGTGTGTGTGTGTGTGTGTGTGTACCTGGGTGGGCAGCAGGGACCAGTTCTGCCCCGAGCGGATCCGTCGGTCCACCAGGTCTCCGTCAGAGATGGAGTCGGCCGCCTTGCTGAGCAGCATCAGGTGGGACTTCAGGTCCCCACTGTGAGAGGAGGAGGAGGAGGAGGAACAAAACACAAAGATGTTAAAGGAAAAGTCTAACCGTTGGAAATATTGGTTTTTTTCTGGTTGAGAATTGAGAAAATAAACGTCTTTCTTGTGGTTTAAGCATTAATCTAGGAAGAGCCAGGATGCAATTAGCTTAGCTTAGCACAGACACAGCGAGCCCCCCTCACCCCGCAGCCTTTGGCCGAACGTGCAGGTAGTTCTCCTGGACGAAGAGCGGCGCTAGCGAGTAGTCGTGGAAGAAAAGGTCGGATTTGTCGATGAAGCTCATGTGGGCGGTCTCGTCCCCGAAGACGAACACCTTCCTGCAGACGTCAAACGGACCCATCTTCATGTCCTTGCGGGCGCTCGCTGCATCCGTCTTGCACTGATCGTACGTCATCACCTTGTCTTTGGCCGACCACATGCTGAGGTTGTGAATCACCTGGAGAAAGAAAAGAGCCGGCATGGTGAGGGGGGAGGCCGAGGGGGGGTTTAGAGATAACCTCAGAGATTATTAATGATGCTTTGTCTCCTTTACCTGTCGGATATCCTGATTGGAGGCCAGGATTATCTCATTCAGAGCTGGAGGGGGGATCTTGATTCCCTCCTTGAAAGCAAGGGACATCATGGCTCCCTGAAAAGCAAGTAGGTGTAGGAACATTTAAATATTAACATTTGAGTGTTCACTTTACCAATTTAATTTAAAAGTAGGGTACAGATAGTCAGCAACTTATGTCTATTTCTGCTGTGTGTAGTTATTAGCAACTCTTTGCATATATCCAAGTCTCATTGTCTCCATTCATGACATGAATAATATTATTAGGTGGTTTTCAGCCCTGTGTGTGTGTGTGTGTGTGTGTGTGTGTGTGTACCTTGATCTGTTCCACTCGGGGCCTCTGGAAGCGCAGGTCGAAGCAGTGGTTTGCCAGCGACCTGATCTTCATGTGGTTACGATCGTTGCACATGAAGATGATGGGAATCTTTGACGTTTTGATCAGACTGATCATCTCCTGCAGAGTTCAGTAACAAGAAACATGATGCAGCCGGTTGTTGCTTTCAGTCCCCTGCTGCTACAGCTTCGAGGAGCAGTTCATTTAAAGTCATTGTTTCTGTAGATGCATTAACAACAACCGACAGTAGTCTCGTCACCAATCAGACATGTCTGATTGGACTCTGATTGGACATGTCTCTGGAAATCCGGAGTACCATTTTTTAAATTTAAACCACACCTTTCATTTTGCACGTGAGAATCTGGTCAGTGAAATGTGTTATTTCTTTACCTGGATTCCTCCGCGGTCCTCGTTGCCGGCCATGCCATCGACCTCATCCATGATCAGGACGTGCTTATTGGTCACTTTCTGAGATGTGCCTACAAAACACACAACAACAGTTACACACACTACATCATATTCAATTAGATGCTAGACAAATGTATGCTGTGTTGATTCTCCAAGAGAACATTATTTTACCTCTAGGTAAAACCTTATCTTGAAAATGGCAAAAATGCAACATTACTATACTTGAGTTATCGGCTTTATCGACAGTAACGCAGCGTCCACACGGCAGCGTGCGTCGAAGCGGGCGTGTCTGAAGCTCGACCAACAACCGATCACATGAATCTCCCGCCCCGGAAACACAAGCAGGCGGTTTGATTGGCTAGAGCTTGTACTGGCATATGATTTGATATGAAGCTTGAAAAGTTGAACTTTTCTCAACCTTCACCACGAGCAACGGAGGCAAAGCGACGCCGCCGTGTGGACGGGCCGTAAGTGACACCTCATCCTGTAGAAATCACAGCCTTTAAATGACTCTTGCAACAAGCTTTCATTTCAGAAACATTTAGAACTAAATGTGATAACACACTTCTAAAGCATGGGTATCTAATTCTAAGGCTGGATATGTGTTTTTGACAACCGTAACGCTATTTTAGTTTTAGCAAACTTCATATCAAAATGCTAACAGTTGTCAGTTTTGTTCTTTGCAGTCCTCTCATTAATTACATTAATAATAAAATGCTTCTCATCGCTGCAACATAAGTACACCTTTTTCAGAAACCAGCCCATGAATAAACGCTGACGTTGGTTCAGAGGTGTCCAGTGGTGTAGTGGGCGTTGGACACGGGGGTACGGCGTACCCCCACTTATTTGAAGCATGATTTTTTTTTTTAATAGTCTAAAACATATAGAATCATTGCCAGTGTTATCAGTTGCAAGTGTGTATTTGTTGTAATAATGACGAAAACATAATAGGCAGATTTCACAGTAATTATAAAAAAAACGTAGCTCAAGCATGTGTGTGTGTGTGTGTGTGTGTGTGTGTGTCGCACTGTGCAGGACTGCACACACAGCATTTTCATTATTTGTCCCGCGTCCCACAAATTGAGACTGTCACCCCGCATTTGAGTGACAGTCGCGCAGAAAGGGCGGATCGGTTCGCTGACGGCCGGCACCGCCCTTTATTATTATATTGTCTAAAGTTTCTAAACGGCATCATGTAAGTTGCGCTGACAGGCGACACAGGGGTCCACACACAGTGTTCTCCCCCCCAGTTCACGAGTGTCTCCCCGTCCACCCAGTAAAAAAATCCCCACTACACCACTGGATGTGTCGCTACTGGAACAGAGAAACAACTGTAAAGACGGATCACCTTTGTAGAAGCCCTCGATGCTCGTGTTGTTGAGTGACTCGGACACGACTTCCTTCAAACTGCTTTTGCTGCGAGTGCAGCTGGCGTTCATCTCCACAAAACTGAGGCCCAACTCCTGCAGGACCACACACAAACTGTTTAGTCAAACAGAGACAAAGCAATATGTTTAAGTTTAAGACATTTGTCAAAGGGGCAAGTAATAATCAGATACAGACTGGGAAGAAAAGCACCTAAAAACACTAAGTCTGTGTGTTTATACTGACCTCACAGACCAGGGCTGCTGTGGTGGTCTTCCCCACGCCCGGGGGTCCAGAGAGCAGAGCAGCTTTGAATCCTGATCCGTCATCTTTGCCGCCTCCAAACTTACCGAACCTTGCAACTACACAGCAACAAAACATGTTTCATGTTAAACTATAACTGACTGACTTTTCCCACCCGCAAGACTCAGAGGAGCAAAGCTGCATTCCTACCCTCAAAAACATTTTTGAATCAGAGATCAAATCTTATATGAAATAAGTCTGACCACACGGACTGTAATGTGAATTGTGATCTGATTACTAAAAGGGCATTTCACACAGTTTTTACAAAAACTGTAATAAACTTTGCTTTGAAAAGATGATTTGTTATCATTACTCGGAATACTTCTCACACCTAAAAACACAACACGATAAACCGTCTGCTACCTGGTGGTTTGGAGGTGCCGCTGCCGTGGTGTCGGTACCAGTTCTGCAACCAGCGGACCAACTTGTTGGCACAGCTCTGATCTCCCTGCTGGCCAATCACAGCCTTCAGAGAGAGTGGGCGGTACTTGTCCACCCACAGCAGGCTGGCGTCCTCCCCTTTCTCTGAGGGGGAGGCTGCTGAGGAAGAGGAGAGGCCCAGCTCCCTCCGGGCTGTGTGGGCCGAGCCCCTCCCCGGGGGGGTGTCTCTGCCTCGGGTCCCGGCGCCGCGGCCCGAGGCCAGGCCGGTCTTTGAGGGGCTTGGGGTGTGAGGGGAGCGGGAGTTACCCTTAGAGGGAGAGATCTTCTGAGATGTGGGGGTGCTCTTTGAAGTCCTGCCGGGGGGGGTCTTGGTCTTTGAGGCTTTATTCTAAAAGTCAAGATCAACTGAAAGTAAATGGCATGTTTCTGCTACTATAACAAACAGATAGGCTCTGTATCAGAATCAGTATACCTGGATGTGGCCCAAAGAGGGGACATGTACATTGTTACAGCAAAAGTGAAGAGCCAAAAATAACAAAATATTAATTTAGAGGCATGTATTTGTATACAGTGCCTCTAAATTAATATTTTAAGAGAAAAATACAACAACAATAAAGTAAATAAAGTGAGGCTACTCAGCTGTGATTAGGAGCTGCTGTTTGAGCGAAGCCATTAAACATCAGTCAACTAAGTGGGCATTTGATGAATCGCCCTAACTGTTGTTATTTCTTACAATAATTAAAACGACTGACTGTAAAGAACAGATGTTTCATATTCTTACATCTTCTGGGTTCCAACTATTCCACTGCTGACAAAATCACTTTGTGAACAGCTTGTTTAAAGTAAAAATATGAGAGCGTACCTCGGCTTCTGCAGCGATCTCGTACTTGGACTTCTTTCCAGGTTTGGTGCTGATCAGCTCCAACAGACCATCTTCATCCAGGATCTTGGTCCCGAGACTCTCCGCCTGAACACAAAGCCACAAACTATATAGGTCAAAGGACAGATCCAAGAAAAAAACTAATGTAGGGAAATGTCTATAACTTAGGAAACAGTTCAAGTTAAATTAATCACACATATTTTCTACAGAATTTTTTTTTTGTATTTCTGGATCAGGGGGGTCACCTTCTCGAGTTTGGAGACTCCGCTGTCTCTGCCCTGCACCATGTAGGTGGTCTTCTTGCTGATGTTGCCCGTCACCTTGCCTCCGTAGCGCTCGATCAGGGATTTAGCGTCATCCCTCTCCATGGACTCCATGACCCCCGTCAGCACAAACACACAGCCCTCCAAACAGTTCTCAGCACCCTGGAAAACACACACACACACACACACACACACACACACACACACACACACACACACACACACACACACACACACACACACACACACACACACACACACACACACACACACACACACACACACACACACACACACACACACACACACACACACACACACACACACACACACACACACACACACACACACACACACACACACACACACACACACACACACACACACACACACACACACACACACACACACACACACACACACACACACACACACACACAACACACACACACACACACACACACACACCACACACACACAACACACACACACACACACACACACACACACACACACACCACGATAAAGGACCAAACAAAGGCAGTTTGAGGAAAGATGGTAGACGGTGTGAAGGCCGCTGTGTGTTACCTGAGGGATTTCCTTTGAGCCCAGAGCTCGGGGTCCGTCCCTGTTGAGGAAGTTCCTGAAAGCTGCCGTGTTCTTCTTCTTCTCTGCGTCGTCAGGACTCGTACTCGTGCTCTGATGGGGTTATTATAATTGTTTTAAATCAAACAAAAACAAATCTCACAGAGTCATCACAGCTTCTTTCGCAAACAGAACACTCATCCATTATGACTGCACCTAGGCCAATAGAAAAGGAAAAACCAATTCTCCATTACTATTTGTAGCACTTAACTAGATTTGAAGCTAATGCAGTAGCATCATGGAAAGTTCATGTACTTGCAGGATTCATGCTTTTCCAAGTATGTATCTTCATGTTTGATTGTACTTACAAGTTGCTTTAGAGAAAAAGCAATTACATATATTGGATAGATGTCGTGTACACATACATGTGTTTTTTTTTGCTAATGTTTAATTATGATGGAAGAAATAAATAAACGGATTGATTAATAATCTCTACCATGACATGATACAATGCAGTTTAAAGGTAAACACGTACCTTGCTCACCTCTGGTTTCTTGGGAGACGTTTTAACCGTGGTTCCTGTTTTGGGAGTGAACTTCTTCTCGTAGCTCGGAGAAGCGAGGGGTTCCTTTTTGGGGGAGATTTTGATTTTTGATGGTGAAATAATTGTTTTGCTCTTTGACGATACATCTCTCTCTTCTTGCTCTTTCTTCATCGTGGCCAGTTTGGAGCTGGCTCTGACGGAGGCGGGGTTCTTCTTAGGGGTGGGACTAATGGCATCCTCCGACATGCTGCCTCTGCGGCTGCTCTTTGACGGACTGCTCAGGCTGCCCGCAGCAGAATCCGGACTGCTCTTTTTAGGTAGTGTGGTAGGGGCTGGTTTTTCATCAGAGCCTTTACGAGCCTGGATGAGGACACATGCACAAAATCCTATTTAATGACACTTGTGAAAATCAAAAGGTGGATATGTCTTTGTGTTGTTGTTTTTAATTACCTTCTTCGCTTGAGGCTCCTCATCCAGCATGGCCAGAGTTCTGGCAAACTCCTCATCCTCATGGACCTGCTTCTCCAGCTGAGTTAGAACAAATTATGAAATTAAAAAAAAAACAATAAGCTTACTTTTTAACAACATCAGTTGTAAAAGGTTTGGTCAGAGCAGCAAAATATTTATAATGACTTTTAACTTTCAAAAGTGACTTAAAAACATTAACAAATACACAAAATATTGAATATAAGGACTTGTCTTTGGTCAATAGTCTAACCAATCGACTTGTTTCCTCTGTAATTCCGAGTGCAATGAACGAGCCGCTGTATGGTGATCGACCCACCTCCATGTCCTCGTGCATCTGCAGCTGTTTGGCGATTTGCTCATCACTCAGATCATCTGTGTCCTGAGTTGGCTGAGGAGAAGATACATTTACAAGGTCACTTTGTTGTGAAAGGATCCTGGTTTCATACTTTAATGAAAGACTGAAAAAATCTGTTATCAGTAGAGTTGAGTGGTTGATACTCAGGAAGCCACAAATCCTGACAGTTTGGATGAAAAAGCCATGAGGTGAGAAGACACAATCATTTAACAACACTCACCGCCTTTCGTTTGGTGCTTGCTACGAGCTTCTTCTCTGAACGTTGGACAGCTGCACTGCCGAAGTAGTCGAATACTGAAGTGGGAGTGTGTTTGGGGGCAGGAGGCGGGGCTGACTTAGGGGTGATGGGTGTAGGAGGAGACTTCACCGCAGTTTTCCCCTTGGTGGAGGAGGGAGTGACGGGAGACTTCAGTCCCTCTTTGGCTCCGGGGCGAGCGTCTGACTTTGTCTGTTTGGCCGTGCCGTTCTGCTTGGGTTTAGTTTTGGAGACCTTCTTCAGGGTCTGAAATGAGTCGCTGTCTGAGTCTACGATCAAAAACAAAAAAGTCTTATTAAATACTGGCAAATCCAGAGAGCAAGTGTATAATCATTGAAATGTCCTCAATCGCCATCAAGACAAATGTGGCAATAAATGATGTAATGGATATCAGTTGATATGGACCCATTACCTGTCTCGGAGACATACTGCACAGGGTCCTTTTTGGGAGGCGTCTCTGATTTGCTCTTCTTCTGTTTCTCTTTGGGGGATTTCTTTGACTTTCTCACTGGCTCCTCGTCGTCGGAGTCTGAGCAGAAAGAAAAACATGATGCACCACGAATACGCAGCAATGTGTTTAACCTTCCATCACAGCTGATCAAAAAGTCCCTAATTAGTGATGAAAAATAACTAACTGTGTCCCCTGAAAAACAGATACTATGCTTTGTGCCTGACATGTAATTATGACATACAAGAGGCACAAACAGCAGCACAGTGCATCATGGGAATTATGCAGTAGCATAAAACTGACAAGTCAAATCAAGCAATCTGATTGGTTCTTAGCCGTGATATAATGAGCGTATACCAGGGGTAGAATTTTAGTTACTTTTCACAACAAGTCAGTATCCCTCCGCGTCTGAGAAAATCTAAAAACAGAAAAGATCATACATACCAGACACTATGACTATCTGATTCTTCCGTTTTTTGTCACCATCCTTGAGTTTCTCCTGTGTTTTGGAGCTTTTCACCTGAAGCATATGAACCCCAATTAAACTTGATCAATAAGATGAGGCAACAGATGAACCACTACGGGAAGGAGGTGGGAGATAAGCATAATGTTCTTGCCTTGGTGGTCTCTTTCTTTTTGTTTTTCACTTCCTCGTCTGAAGAGAGAGGATTCTTCTTCTTCTTCTTCTTCTTCTCCTCCTCTGTTTTGATGTTTCCATTTGAAGCTGGTTTCTGCACCGCAGTCGGTGCAAAGAACCGCCTGATGTCCTGTTTGCACAAACACAAGTCCTGTCCTTTAACTATTTAGTTCTAGTTTCTAGCAAACAGAAAGTAATGCCTCTCAGATGTCCTGCTCCTTTGCTGAATATCTTTGAACACACTTAAAGACATCACCTTGGACTCTGAAAAAAGGGAGGGACCGTTTACACTATTTATGGAGGAAAGTATGAATCTAGAAAATAGTCTACAGATTAATTAATAATCAAACAGAGCATTAGTTGCAGTTCTAGTTATATCCTCAAATAATGACAAATTGTTATTGGAATATACAACACTTTATTGGATGCAAATTGATGCTATGGTGCAGTTAAAATATTTGTTTTCAACTAAATGTGCATCATTTGAACTGCGTTAACAAATCAGCATGCAAATGTAAATGTACACAACAAAAGAGCAAAATATGAGTATGTGTTGCTCGCTAACTTTAATTAATTTCTGAATATGTTTCCTCTTTAGCTGCAGCTAACACACTTAACTTCAGGATCAGCAGCAGCGAGCAGGTTCAACAACACAACAGGATTACTTTAGGCGTTATGCAACCACGGTGTTTACGAAGACAGCGTACAGAGAAGTGCAAATAAATAGCTTTAAATGTGTCACGTACCATTATTGACAGGCTTCCTCGCCGTTTAGGGTCAGAAAAGTAATGAAATCCCACAACTGATTGGCGCGAAGCTGGATTCTGTCGCCTGGAGATGACGCACAACCGGGAGTCTGTTGCTGTGCGTCAGTTGCGTGGTTTTCGAAAACAAATGTGTACTTTGTAATAATATATTTTATAAAACCCTCACTTAATATTTGCTTTTTTGACACTCATTTCATAAAGCTGGGAGCAAATGTGCAGTATTATAACCCTTATATATGTAAACAAAAGCAAGCCACTTTACCAGACTGGCAATTTATTGATTTTATTGGGGAATTTCACATGAATACAGCCAGGTTCTCATTTCATTTCATTTCAAACCTTTATTTATGCAGGTGAATCCCATTGAGATCATTGATCTCTTTTTCAAGGGTGACCTGCTGCAAGTAGGTTCCACATGGATACATATAAAGTTTAAACATAACAGAAAAACAAAAAGGACATCATACAGCATATTTACAGCGACTACAGTTTACATAGCTAGTAACATTTACAGGTTCCAACAGTTTCCGATTGGATAGCATCTATCCTTGCTTTAAAAACATTTAGTGAAACCAAATTGCTCAGCTTGTATTCCTTTTGCAGACTGTTCCAAGACAGACTCGGTATAGTTTGTACCTTTCAGGGTTGAATTTAGAAACTCATACCGAGTCAATATGTTAAATATACAATAAGAAATGGTCCTATGTAGATATTATTTAAAATGCAAGACAAGGGTTTTGAGTACCTGAGACACTTTGATATGCTCTGTATAAAAAGAGGTAAAACATTTTCAGACCTTCAAAATTAAATATATATATAAAATACTCCTGTACATTTCTTTTTTATTTGTGTAACTTGAAAAAACACAATAAGAGGGTGAATGTTTGATAAGAGAGCATTGACCTTGAAAACATACAATCCCATAACATATTTGATTTATAAAAAAAATAGTGCGTTGAGCTTTGATTTGTGGACAAGTATTCAAACTGATGTATGTCTGGTTCAACAGGCTGCACATGAAGGCCAAAGTACAGGCTGACACAGAGAAGATATATTTCCAGGAGGTTTACTCTCAGCCTCATTTCTTTCTCTTTTCTCTCATCACTATCACATCAGCTCTTTCAACATCAACCAGGATGCTGACTGTGTCTCTACTAGTTTGTGCCATGATGGCTCTGACTAGAGCTAATGGTGAGTATCTCTTGATACATTTTGTGTGCAGTAATATCAAAGCAAACCTTTATTGTTGAAGCTAACTTCACAGAAAAGCATGTACAAACCTTTATTGAACTATTAAATGCATCATATTCTGGCATATATGCAAACCAAATGCATTAATGATGTCCTACAACACAAAAGTAACAAAGATAAGTAAGAATGGGATCTGGCTTTTGGTAATTGTTTTACTATTTAAAGGATATGATTCCATATAATGATAAAATTGACATAGCTTTTTAAATTGTAAGAGAGACCAGACATTGATAGTTAAAGCAGGAGACATCAAGGGAAGAGTCAGGTCTTAACTGCAGATACAATTTATTTTACTATCACTTTTTCACCTAATTACTCATTAAGTGTTTAAGGCTTTTTCTCCACATGACTAAATGAGACACAAACCAAGCTAAACCTGAGGTAACGGTAGCTAGTTTTAGATGAGCAGAATAGCAGTAGCCGCGATCTCAGCTTTTGACCATAGTTGAAAGCTTTAACAAAATAAATGTGCTTTACAGAAGAGGTTAAAGTGCCCTCTTTCGCTGAGCTGCCCTTCTGGAGGAAATACAATTGAAATGTGTTTATTTGAACTCTTTAGAGCATTTTTAGAGACCCTCTTCTTGTGCATATTGATATAGGCACAATTAATTAAATGTGATGTATTGTCACTCAGGCCTTTTACAATAAAAGGATTAAACACTCATTTGTAAAAACAGACACAGCGACTGCCTGCCTCCGATTAAATGTGACCCACTCTCATGTCTGTCCTCAGAAAGCACTTCTCACGTCAGGGGGCCTGCTGTCGAGGGTTCAAAAACCACCGTCCTCTGTCAGGCCAAAGGTCAAGCACCACGCTCAGGAGGTTGTCTTCTTGGACTACATATGGTGATCGCCGTTTCTTTTTTTGAACCAGAAAAAAGGAGTTGGGCTAAGTCTGAGGTAGAAAAGTATGAATATATGGATTTAGATTGCTTTAGAATATTCTTCTATTGTAGATGCTGTCAGAGCCTGGGAGGAAACCTTGCCTCCATCCATAACTACGCTGAGTATAATCACCGAGCAGATGGCTTCTGAACCAGCGTGGGTTCGAGGAGCAGCTTGCCAAGACGTAAGGTTTTGGTGGTGCCAACAGAATACAAATATTAAAAGTTTTTCATTACATATAATCTTTATTTTCTGTCTTCCAGGATTGACTTGGCTCTAGGGTGATGGTCTATGTATTATGATGAATGGTGTCCGAATCAACCTAAAGGAGTGCTGTTTGCAGATCAATTCTGAGGGTAAATCACACTTAGTTTGAGAGCTTATTATAATAATACGTACTGAAGGCAGGATTGTTTTTGTAAATGTTGCAAGTTAATGAACAGTTGTAAATTGAATCTAAAAAAAAGAAAGGATTAAAAATTGCACAATGATGATGTTTTACATAACAATGCTGGGATGACATACGTTGTAACACTCTGCCTCCGTCAATCTGTGTCAAGGCAGCCCACTGACTCAGCCTTTAAAGGACCCTGAAGTCATGGAAATGCTGCTTTAAGCACAAGCTTACTGTAGCCTTTGATGCATTATTATCCTATCCATCCCCACCCGCATCAATCACCGGACCTGGGGCGACAGAGCCTTCTCCGTCGCTGCCCCCTCCCTCTGGAACTCACTCCCCCAACCCATCAGAGACTGCACTGACCTCACCACCTTCAAAACACTCACCTCTTCAATCTGGCTTTTAATGTCCGATTGTTTTTGTATTATTTAACTTTATATATTTATTTGTTGTTCTTTTCACTATATCTGTAAAGCGTCTTTGAGCACCTGTAAAAGAGCTAACAAAATAAATCTATGACAAAAATAAAGGCTGAAACAAACCGTTCTGCAAGTCTCTCTGAAGTTTACTAGTCAGTAAAAAAGTACACTTATTGATCAAACAAATGTGATGTTTTTACTGCTTTATAGGTGCACACATTTGACATACTAGGAAGTTATGGAATAATGTATTCTGATACGGGTCAATCCACATATTGACCACCTCCATGTACTCCCATGAATGCAGTATAACCATTGTAAGTCATGAGGTTGAACAAAAGCATAATACTATTTAAAGCTCATTCAGCTGAATGGCTTTTCTCAAATGTATTCCCGCTCAACGACTGACCTGCAGCAAATCAAATGAACAAAACAACTGAAGAGATTGGCTGGAAAAGTTGGTAGTTTTATTGGTCATAAGGACATAGTGAACAATTATTCAGTATCTTGCTCGACCACGGTGGTCTTCTCGCTCACATAGATTCCGTCCAGGAACTTCCTGATGTCCTTCTTTTTGACCGTGGTGGCCTGTTGGATCAAGGCCGCTGAAAATGTAACAGAGGAGAGTGTGAAGGGACGATCACATGAGGGTAGAGGAAAGCCTAATGTTACCACAACATGCTGAAAGGCCTGCAGGACATGAGCACTCCTAAATAGGCTTTGTGTTTTAGAAAACAACTCGGATTATAGATGCATGCAGTGGTTTGGGTTTAAGACAAACCATAAAGCTGAGGGAGAATAGACTCAGTGAAACCATGCTGGAGGTATGTGATCACAACAGAAAAATGAGCGCTTTTCTTTTCACTAATTTGAAATCTTATGAACAAGCTAAATCTTCAAATAGGATTAGTTGATAAACAGTATAGCCCTTTAGATTAAAGGGAAAACATGGAGAAGCTTTGAAACTGAAAAAGAGACACATGTTGCATCACCAGAGACAACAGAAAGAACGTGCAAAGACAGAGAAACCGATGAGAACACAAGGGAGGCTTCGACGGCAAGTCTAACCTCAATGAGTGCAGATGTATTTTTTACTGAGGGGCATCCACTACTGTTCCCTTCTCAGACACGTAAACACCATCCAAGAACTTTCTGATATCCTTATTTTTGACTGTGGTAGCCTGTTGGATCAGAGCAGCTGGAACAAAAGGAAGTTGGGATAACACGTCACATGGGATCACAGTGATTACACAGGAGGTCAGAGGGAACACTGAGGAAGGGTACTAGAGATGAGGAATGAACACTGGAGTCAGGAGGGACAGGTATAATGACACGTTTGGCTTTGCATTTCACATTTGTAATTAAATAATGACATGTTTGCATTTCAGCTTTCATTTGGTTGTGTGTTACCATGCACATCATAATTAACCAAATCCTTTATAAAGCTACAAGTCAAGCAGTCAATTACAAACCCAATGCACTGGGGTACGAGGCCAACACACATACCTCGGTCCTACCGAAACACTAATGTATAGCAGTGGGCATGGGGGGGGGGGGGGCAGGCTTAAGATCTCCAGTAATTGTCAGAGTGTAAATGTGCTGTAATATTCTGTTAACTTCAATGTCCCAATGGACTTCATTCCTGACATGAAACAGCTGAAGTCAGAGGGTCTAAAGGTATATCTGAGGCATTGTTTCGTTCAGAGCTCTAAAAAAAATAATTAAAGTTATTTCTGCTGAATTACTCCCAACATATGCAACCTCCGCTTTAAACTGCAACAAGAACCATCAAGCGCTCTGACATGTCAGTCGTAAAAATATATGTGAACCATAAATGTTAAGAGGGAGTTCTACTTTTAAATGGTAGCATAAAATACTCACGCCATTTAATGAAAGAGTGTCAAACTCATGTTCAAGTGAATATAATAGTTCTGTAGCAAGGACGAGGAAAGGATCAGACACTGATAAAACTAACAGCTGCCGTTTCTGGGGAGAGGCAGCAGCCAATCAGACGCCCTCATGTCACCAACAGATTTCCGGTGTTTTGTTTACATCTGAAAGTAGACTAAACCAAGCTTGAAGGCAGCTTTGTTTAACTGAAAGTATATTAGGGATCCTGTT